TTTCAGGAACGCCAGCTACCTGACGGCGTTTGCCGAGGACGAGTCTGGGATGAACACCTTCAACTATTTTAAGCCTGGCTTCAAGGAGCAGCCAACGGACTACTACGTCAGGCCTCTCCAGAAGGCAGTCGAGTCGGATTTGGACACATGGAAGTGTGCCGAGTGCTCGATGAGATATTGCATTGGTCGCCGGGAAACGAGCAGTTATGCCTACGATCTGTGCAAGGAGTTCGCCAGGCGGTACGTGGATGAGCGACCCATTTGGGGCCTGTTCTGGTCGAACAGTTTCAGCCATGACAGCTACCGAATGCCATCGAAAATGGAGGACTACGTCCTGCAGTACATGCTGGACTTCGAGGCTGATGGCGTGTTCGAGCAGAGCATTGTGATATTTCTCTCCGATCACGGTACACGCTGGGGGGATTTAATGTACTTGGAAAGTGGCTTTCTGGAGTCGCGACTTCCCTCAATGTTCATCTACCTGCCGCCCTGGTTCCGCGCCCATTACCCCGAATATGCCCAGGCCCTGGAACTGAATCAGCATCGGTTGACCTCCAACTATGATCTGCACAACACTCTGAAGCACATCATAGAGATAGGCGGAGATAGAGATACCGATGGCCGGAAACCGGAGCTGCCCAAGTCCCACGATTGCCCCAAATGTCACTCGGTCTTCTATCCCATGGACGAGCATCGGTCATGCGAAGATGCTGGCATACCGGAGCACTATTGCACCTGTCTGCCCTACAAGAGGCTTTCCGGCGACTGGCCCCTACGCATCGCTCCTAGGGTCATTGACCGCATCAACGAATACCTCAGCGGCAGGAATCTCAGTGCAATTTGTGCCAATTTATCACTGTCTTATGTACACGAAACCGAAATTCTGATCCCCCTCGATCAGAACTTCCACGATGATATGTCGGTCTCCGAGACTGCCGTATATCGCACTATGTTCAAGGTAAAACAGAACAGTGCCGATTTCCGGGCCACAGTCGTCTTCAATAATGTTACAGAAGCTTTGGAGGTCAATGTTACGTCTATAAGTCGCCTCGATTCCTATGAGAACGATGCCACCTGCATCGACGACAAAACCGACAAATTGTACTGCATTTGCCTGAGCAATCTCAAAGAGTAGCCCACATACCTTCTAGGCACATTATTGTTCTACAAGTGTTGTTTCCTGTCGTTAACAAAATAATTAACTAATTGAAAATCAGATATTATCTCATATTTTTATGACTACTAGAACTACAGGAAGGTGACATATGTATATACATATGTACATACATACATATACATCGACTATTTTGATATATAACATGATCAACGCAAGTCGCAAATTTAATAAGTGATTAATTAATGCATTAGCATTGAATTGAAAGCATTACCAAGGAACCTAGCTTGAGCTTTTTTTTATAAACTATTTTTTTTTTACCTAAGCTTAAGTTTTGTCATCCAAATCGAATGACTATATAATTGAGTTACATGCCGTCTTCGGATAAATGTTTGTTTTATAAACAACTCACAGTTTTTTTTGTACCATATACGAGAATTATATTGAAAGGCCTTTTTAAAAAATCTACTATATCTGCCAAAAAAAAAGATGCAAAAATGCTTGTTTAAGTTTACAGTTTTTGTTGAGCTGTATAATGTCTTCTGTATGAATGCTGACGACGTACTGAAGAAATATAAAACATTTTTACCAAGGGGAACGGATAAATATAGACAAAGCCTAATTTGGAGTATTGTATCTGAATTGTATCACAATTACGTTGCCATTAAACAAATGGCAAACAAATCTGTTTTATTTTAACAAATTCCTTTGAAATTCGGATGATTAGTTCAGACAATATACCATGGATCGCAGCAGAATGTGCATCCTTCGTTGAAGAGTTCTTGGCACACAGGCCCATCCGGTGTTGTAGGTGAGGAAAACGAAGCAGATGCCTCAGCGATGGCTAAAGATTGTGCACATCACCTTGATAACGGAATTTATGTCGGGGCCCATAGGTAAACTGATTGCATGTTTCCATTCCTGGTATCGGACAGCCATTGCACCGGTGCAGACTTTCAGAACATCGAATCTTGTGTTGGCTAGCCATCGGACATATAGCCTTCAGTGATTTTACAGTTACTGCAGTTGACAACCCAGAACGCATTTGGTGTCCATAGTATAGACCAGAGAGATAGACTAGAAGTGAGGACAAGACTCCGTTGCCAGTTCATCTTCCGCCATGCAACTGATAATCACTTGAGCTCTGACTGGGAAACAAACTTTGTGTTATCAGCAGATCCTATAGATGCCTTCTCTGGGTACTTCAATAATCATCTATTGTAATTAACTGATTAACTAGCTCCCTGTAGTGCCAGATCAGAGCACAACAATGTTCTGGGGAATACCGTCTACCGTGCGTCATTTAATTCGTCCTACCCCAAGGTTGCCACAGTTCCTCTACATTCACAGAGCCTTGGGATCATACTATCGGTATTATACTATGGCAGCTATATATTGGTCAAATCTTTTTGGGTTATGTAAAAACATATAGATTACCTTAAGAAACAACATAGATTTCCTCACAGTAGCTTCTTTTTTTGTATCGAATATTCCTATGTGGTGGTCGGAGATGCTTTATTCTAAGAATTAAACGCTTTATTTTCCTCCGGCGGCTTTCGCAGCTTTTTAGCCATGTTCCAAACACAGTTACAAACTTCACTTGATTTTCGCAACAAAAGCTTTCACGCTGCCAGGCTTCAGCAAACGACCGTTAATCGTGGGAGTAGTACTATTTCTAGTAATAAAATTAAGTCCTAAGTTTCGGCATGGTAATTCTCTGCAAATGTTTGACACGGCTTTTCCAGTCGGCCGTGAGGTTGCATGTGCGTTGTTGTAGGTGAGGAAAACGAAGCGGGCGCCTGTGGCTTACAATTTTGGATATCCACTTGGGAATGGGATTCTGGTTGTTGTCCAACAGAAACATTGGAATGCCAGCGCGATGAGTATTCGAGCACCCCCAATGCACCTGTGCAGACTCTTAGAGCAGCGAAGTGTCCATCAGATAGCTGTCGGCGTACCCAGTTCTCGTTTCCGCGGTTGGTTGTACCGAGGTGTGGTATCAAAATCAAGGGAAGGTGGCAGAGGGACAGGCCAAGTTGCTTGTGTGGGCCATGTAAATGGTAAAATTCGCTTCAACTTTGACTAAATTGAGCACAACCATCTGTGGTTGCTGGTTTGAAGGCATTTGCAGTACATGTAGGAAAAGGCTTCGCGAATCGAACATACTCTTGCATTTTAAGGAACCTTAGAACCTAACCTAAGGAGCCTTACGCTGGAGATGATAACTCAAACCATCGTGTGTGGCACAAGCCCGATTAGTCTGCTCAGCACGCAATCAGCATCATACTTAATTTCTTGAGTTTAAGAACGAACCTAATGATAACCTACATTTCATGAAATTTCTGAAATCAGTGCATTTATTTGCATATTATTTTCTTTACGTGGGTTCGGTGAACCGAAGGTTCAAGCAGGGCACTGGCACTGACACACGTTTTTTTTTGCATAAAGTTCTATTATAAAACTACAGTAATAACATTGGGGATACGTATTAATAATAATTAATGTTACATTTCTTATACAATATGCAGTATATTTTATGCGCAAGCGCGAGAGTTTGTATCAGAGCCTATGACGGCCACATGCTCTCTCAATTTTTCTGTCTGATTTATTGGTTCATGCGGGAAATGGGAGATCTCTACACGACCTCTTTGAATTTTGCTCGCCTTGTGGGAAAAATATAGAGAGAAAGAGAATAACCACGACAGGCATTCTTGCTCTTTCCTCTACTCTTATGTCTCTGTCTTTCGCTTCTCACTCCTCTCCGCTCCTCTCCGCCAGCAAACGCACACTGCACGACGAAGAGTGTGCGATGTAGAGATAGCATGAGAATGGGTCCCGCTCGTAGATCATCTTCACAGCTTAAGCATAGAGTGACAACTGATGATCGTTCGAGAGATTGTCTACACTCTAGGGATTTTCTTTATCACTCTGATGCCTCATGCGTTATCTTTCTGATGTTTTTCTATAGAGCGCCTACCCAAGCTGAACTGGGGAGCAACAATACGATGACTATGCCTGAAGGAAGAGCAGACTCGTAAAGTATAGTATATGGGATATTCTGATGAACGAAACCTTTATGGGGGCCACATGGCTTGAGAGATGATTTAGTAGACTTATATTTATTTAGGCGTTTCGTATGTGGCCTTTTCCATATTGCATCTTATATTCTACTGCGTATACCTTTTGGTTTCAAGAATCCAACAGATGACAACGTGCGTGTGGCGCCAGCTCAGAAATTGCAACTTTCACCGCACCCCTTCTTCCATTTCTCAGGTCATCGCTGATAGCCGTGCACATGCAGTTCAAGATAGTCCTTGCCCCGGGCCGAGTAGGTGGGCTGCCTCCTCCCACCCTTTCTTATCTGCGGTTATTATCAGGCATCGCCAAGTGGTTTTCCGGCTGTGGTGTTTACTTTGCCGGGGCACGTATAATAACAAAGGGCTTGTCTTTTCATTCTTTTCAAGCTGCATCCAATGAACTTTATGTGGCTTGCATTTTGTCATCAGCACTCATAAAAACCTATCTAAAATTAAATCTAAGGTGCAGCAAAAAAATCAAATAAAAGGTCGCACTTGAAACCACTCGTCTATTCGTCCCAACATTTATTAGTAGGAGGAGCAGGACGGATAACAGCAGACGGTCTAGCGGCCAAGCGAACGGGTAGCAGCAGTCAGTTCCAGGGGGCAAGGCATCTAGATACAGTAGGAGGAAATCTTTGGTGGCCCTACTTGCAGGTCTCAGCTACTAGACAGTTGCAGGCACCGACAGGCATTCACATTGGCAGGGGGAAATAATTTGGCGGCTCGAGATACAGATACACCATCGTCTCATTGTGACTATATGTACATATATCCTGTGTCCTGTCGTACCAAAAAAAGCGAACATCTTGATCTTGTTCAAATTTTTAATTTAGAAGGTTACATTGGCCGTGAACTCCGAGCAATGCCGATCGACGGACTGGCGAATATTTTGACTGTGAATTGAATTGACTGAGAATGCAATACATGTAAGCAATATATAAGTAATAAGGTTACATATGTATGTGTGTGCAATTATGTAAGGAGCGCGTACATGGTAGCGTACATTAAATCTGATTCAAAGTTATTTGTACCGTTGCAGCAGTATGTGAAGCCAGCGACAGCCGTGTTGGGCAAGAATATGGGGCAGGGCACAGGTTCGCAAAATTTTAGAGCACTTGGACGTTCAGTCGCGTATATGTTGTTGTACGTGAGAAAGATGGCCACCAGCTCGTTGGTTGAAGTTCTCACCACCTTGTACATCCACTCAGGCACGGGGTTCTTTGTCTCACCTCCCAGAATCGCGCAATGAGGGACGGGGGGCCGGGCAGTATCCGGCAGGATGAGAGTGCCAACTGCACCCGTCTTGATCCTCAGCGAACCACCGCAGCGGATAATACCGCGCACCCAGCGCTCGATGGCCTCCCAGTTCCCGTCGTTGATGGTCTTGAACTGGGGCACCACATTCACGTACTTGAAGGTGGCGCCCATCTGGTCCTTGTACAGATAATCTGCCGAGGGAGTCAAATGTCCGCGATTGATGACCACATCCCGGCTAAAGGGAACGTATGTCTGGTTTTCGCCGAAGATACGCCTGAAGGCACCGTAAATACTGCTGGGCATGAAGGTACTGGCATCCGCCGGACTCAGGACGTTATCTAGGCTAAACTCGACGTGGGGACGCGTTGGATCTGTGGGATGGGAGAACAGCCTAGCCTGTTAAGTCAATGGAGCTGGGAGAGATCATTGAGTACTCACAAAAGGGTTTGCCGTACACCGTGTGGGTCGTGTAGAGGGCCCTTACATTGGTGCGATCGTAGCAGGCGCGATACAGCTCCAGTCGTCGGTTGTTGATCGTGTAGCCAATGGAGTACATTGTGGCCGGACAGGATTCATCGGTGACGTTTATGGCAGTGGCGGGCATGGGGTTCATGCAACTCATCGGCAGCGGTGGGTTGAAGTTGTTGTCCGGCTGGCAGGTGGTCTGTACGATGTCGTCCGGCTGGCAGATCATGTGGAGCACCTCGCCAGTTTGCACTCTCTGGATCAGCTTCGGCACGTAATTTCCGCTAAGATCACGGTTGGCAAATATCCGATTGGTGCCCTCAATCATGGGCCGCGTCAATGGGCAGTCGGCGTTCGCCTCAAGGACTATCATGTCGAGGAAACAATGTGTCAAATCGAACAGTCCTTAAGAGTTCTTAATGGTACTCACCCAATCCCAGTGCAACGGCGATGCAAACCAGCAGATATTGTAGAACCCGTGAGGCTTTCATTATGATTGTTGAATGCTAGGCTCTGCCTCTGACATTTATACGATCGGATCGGACGAATGTGTTCTATCAATACATGTTCTTATCAGTCTTCTCAGTATCTCAGTAGCAATCGGCTTAAAGCTAGTTTTAATAAATCTCTAATTAGACAAATGTTATGACCTACAATTATGAAACAAATTAATTAAGTAAATAAAATATAATAGAACACCCTGGAAATCCCCAAACATGGCTGTGGTACTAACTATTACGTATACGACACAAACACCTATGACTCAAACTGTTTATAATAAAATTAGACCTTATACATTTATGACGACCCAAAACCTATTTTATTTTGGAGTAATAAAAGATTATTCAAATGTTTGAATACTACTGGACAGATCATTTTGGTTTCTTCAATGGAATATATTATATTTGGGATATTTTCGAGTAAATTTGACAGCTTTCATTCAATGAACTTTCGTTGATCATCAGATGTTGAAAATGGTGGCATTGCAGCAGTAGGTAAAGCCAGCGGCTGCATTGTTGACCAGGGCCATGGGGCAGGGGACGCTAGTGCAAAATCGTGGGGCACTGGGACGGCGTGGAGCATATATGTTGTTGTACGTGAGGAAGACGGCCAGAGGCCGGTTGGTTGAGGTTCGCACCACCTTGTACATCCACTCAGGCACGGGGTTCTTTGTGCCAGCTCCCAGGATCGCGCGATGAGGGACGGGGGGCCGGGCAGTATTCGGCAGGATGAGAGTGCCAACAGCACCCGTCTTGATCCTCAGCGAACCACCTCCGCGGATGCGATTGCGCACCCAGCGCTCGATGGTCTCCCAGTTGCGGTCGTTGATGGTCTTGAACTGGGGCACCACATTCACGTACTTGAAGGTGGCGCACATCTGGTCCCCGTACAGATAATCTGCCGAGGGAGTCAGATGTCCGCGATTGATGACCACATCCCGGTTGTTGGGAATGTATCTCTGGTTGTTGCCGAAGACACGCCTGAAGGCATCGTAAATACTGCGGACAGTGAAGGTCCTGGCATCCGCCGCACTCAGGGCGTTATCTCGGCTGAAATCGGTGCAGGGGCGCGCTGGAACTGTGGGGTGGGAGAACAGCCTAGCCTGTTAAGTCGAAGGAGCTGGGAGAGATCATTGAGTACTCACAGAAGGTTTTGCCGTACACCGTGTGGGTCGTGAAGAGGGCCCTTACATTGGTGCGATCGTAGCAGGCGCGATACAGCTCCAGTCGTCGGTTGTTGATCGTGTACCCAATGGAGTACATTGTACCCCGACAGGATGCATCGGTGACGATTGTTGCAGTGGCGGGCATGGGGTTATTGCAACGCAACGGCAGCGGTCGGGTGAAGTTGGTGTTCTGTTGGCAGGTGGTCTGTACGATGTCGTTCGGCTGGCAGATCATGTGGAGCACCTCGCCAGTTTGCACTCTCTGGACACGTTTCAACGCGTAATTTCCCCTGCGATCGCGGTTGGCAAATATCCGATTGGTGCCCTCAATCATGGCCCGCGACAACGGGCAGTCGGCCTTCGCCTGAAGGACTATCATGTCGAGGAAACAATGTGTCAAATCGCACAGCCCTTAAGAGTTCTTAATGGTACTCACCCAATCCCAGTGCAACGGCGATGCAAACCAGCAGATATCGTAGAACCGGTTGGGCTTCCATGGTGATTGTTGATTGCTAGGCTCTGCCACTGGCATTTATACGACTCTCGGAGCTATCGGGCGGTTCCTACTTTATTGTTACCGGGCCCCGCTCGCGGGCACGTGTCTACATTCAGTCCCAGAAGCAACAGAAGAAACAACAGAACAGACTATTTTTGGCAACACATTCTGACCGCATACATGGATACATGGAGGCCGGGCCTAAAGTGCTGAAGAGGCGTTTTATTATTTTTCATTGTGCTCCGCACTTGATGTGCGGCTAGCCCTAGCCTGGCCCTAAAAATATTTCACACTCGGATATGCACAGTAATTTGTACTTCCATTTTCCGGCTCTGACATTGGCAACATTTCCTTTCCTCTCCTCTCCTCTCCTCTCCTCTCTCTCTCTCTCTCTCTGGGTCAACATGAAAGTGTGTGCACTTCTTTTAGGGTTTCGGTTTCGCTTTCTTACAGCCGCTTTCCGGCAGCCAAATGAAATTTTATTTTCCCGAATATTTAGCCAAAACTATTTCGCTGCATTCTGTGCTCTCACATGCAAATGCACATTGGAAAGCATATTTTTTGTGGCACAGTTGAGTGCGTTGCAAGCCCCAATCCGAGTGGTGCACGTATGGCAAAATCTAAGGAAAGCAGATACAATTGCGGGCATCATAAAAGGTTACTTTACAAATTATCCAAACAACTTATTAGGAAACATGCGATCAAGATTATCGAATATACAAGTTGGATCGATCTAATTTGGTATTCCTTGGTATTCACAATTTTAGCTACGATCTACGGAGAGCAAATATTACAGAACATTCTAAAATTTCGTATTACAGGCATAAATTCTATTCAATTCTATTCGTGGCGCTCGCATCGCTCCCCAGAGAGAGTGGGAGGATATAAGGATAGGCTTTTTAGTATTCGATAATCTTTAGAACATACTTCAAAGATATATGAAACCTTAGAAAATCTCGTGTACCGGCAATGTCCTTCAATTTTATCACATTGCTGCGCTCTTCATTTCGAAAGCTTCACTATTATCTTAACCGCAACTGTATATCAGCCTTTACATTTATTCGAGTACATATATTTACGATGTACTGCTGCACTTAATGGGCATGTAAATTCTCAATGGAAGGCACTCCTTGAGCTGTGGTTGACCCAACCCGAATTCACTCTGATGTACCTGTTCGAGTCCTGTTTCTAGATCACATAATGGCACAATTATGCCAGAATCAGAACCAGAATCATCGGAATCGCCAGGGCCAGTGACAGTAACAGAGCCAGACAGTGACTGAATGATTGTCTTCTAATGTCTGCCATTGTCTGGCCATTGTAGTATTTGTCGTTGGATCTAAGTGGCCATGGATTTTAATGTGCATTTTGTGAAATGTTTAATGCGCGGCAAAGTATTCTAGGCTTTTGTCTGCCTTCCGCTCGTAGAATGGTCCTGTCCTGATGGAGGCGTAACGCAATTTCCGCAACTTACGAGCAATTTGGCGCTATTTGGGCACTTTTAATGTATGCTCACAGAAGCGAACCAAATTATGCCATATAAAATTTGCGACTCGAATCGTATGGTGTGGTGCGGTGTGGTGTGGTTCTGTGTTTAGGGAATGTAATGGTCAATAAAAATAAAAGGGGCAAAAGCGGCGAAATCAACAAGCCGACCACAAACCGAAACATAAATTAAATTGTGCCGCACTGCAGACGGTTGATGGTGATGTCGGAGACGGGGTTCCCGATGGGATAGACTCATAGATAGGGCGGTGAATGGGTGTAAGTATGGGTGATGGCTGATGGGCTGCAAGTGCTGGGCCCCATTTACAATGCCATTGAGTTGCGTGTTTACAGCACAATTACAACTGTTAGATTTTATGAGAGCCCAGCTCATGTCCGGGCTGCTAAATTTATGCTGCACTTTTATGAGCTCCCAGTGGCCCCCCAGACACCCAACCCCTTGCTCCGCTTCGACTTCACTTCCTTGGGTATTCCATCAGTTCCACACGCACAAAACAATTTCGCAGGCGTGTGTATTTAAAAGCAGCACAGCCATGCCCCTCTGAATAATTTATTTAATGTCTACTTTTAGGCGCAGCCCACAACACGGCCAAAAGGCAAAATCGCCACGGGCTTGGGCTTTATTGCACTCGCACGCATTGAAAAGTGGCACACTCCCCCACAGACCCCACAGCCCCCCACAGCCTCCACCGCCCCCACAATCGCAGCTTGAATTTAAATGGCCCAAAAGCGAAATGGGGGGTTGGTTGTCGGCAATTTATGAGAAGCCACCGAATGACCATTAAAACTGGCAGCAAGAGTCAATTTTGAATGAGGCATGAATGAATCCAAAGCGTTTAGTTGCTTTTTGAACTGCCACGCGAACTTTTACGATTTATGAAAATTGATTTGCGGCATTCAGTCGTAAGAACATATATTTAATTCGAATTTAAGCGAAGAGGATAATCAAATGAAGTGCACAGGAAGCGATGGTCAACAAAATGTAGAATCGAGTCCGGAAAATATACGGTCTTTCCTCCTTTCTTACTGGGTAACGTGTATAAAAGTACATTCCCGCTCGTTTCATTCCAAATTTGTATCTCAATCTAGTTGGTTTATCTTTGGTCTATCATACAAAAAGAAATACCTCTGAAAAAGATTTCAGGCAATAGCCAAAACTCCTTTTGTTGCTCTATCGCTATATTTTTCATATGGTTGGTTCTTTAAGTAAGTATTTGGGATTGTCCATCAGTTAGGGATTAAAAGTGGCTGGGTTGCAACAGAAGGTGAAGCCATCTGCGGCAGTGCCTCCCAATTGCAGGGGACAATTGACGACCTGACAGAAGGCGGGTGCTGCGGGTCGCTGTCGGGCGTAGATGTTGTTGTAGGTGAGGAAAGCCACTATGGGCCGATTATTGGAGTCGCGGACGATCTTGTACATCCAGAGAGGCACCGGATTGCGGTTGCCGCTCAGGAAGACCTGCCTCTGACCGCTGGCAGCGGGCAGCGTGAGGATGCCGTTGGCACCTGTCCGCACATTCACGAACTGATTGCCCCGCACCGAGCTGCGCACCCAGCGCTCGATGGCCTCCCAGTTGCGATCGTTGATGGTCAGGAACTGTGGCACCACGTTCACGTACTTGAAGGTGGCGCACATCTGATCGCCGAAGAGGAAGTCCGCGGAGGCGGCTAGGTGGCCGCGGTTGATGATCACGTCCCGATTGTTGGGTATGAAGTTCTGGTTGTTGCCGAAGAGGCGCCGGAAGGTGGCATGAATGTTGCGCACCGTGTAGCTGGCCTCGTCCGCCCCCGAGATGACCCCATCGGAGCTGAATCGCACACAAGGGCGTGTGGCATCTGCAGGATTCGTTTTGAGCAACGTTAGATCAGAGTCTGGTTGTTCTCTTGTTTCTCTACTCACAGAAAGGCTTGGCATAAACCTGATGCTCCACCCAGAGGGTTCGCACGGCCCTCCTGTCGAAGCAGCTTCGGTAGAGCTCCAGGAACTGACCCCTGCCAATGTTATAGCCCACACGGAACATGGAGGCTCTGCAGCGGCGATCTGTCACCGGGATTGTCACTGTCACTGGCGGCCTCTGGCATGTCATTGGTAATGGGGGCACAAATGATGGCCTCTGGCCCCGCTGGCAAGTCACCGGCCGAACATCCCTCGGGCTGCACCACAGCTGGAGCGATTCTCCCACAGCGGAGCTGGCCGTCCGCTTCAGCATCAGCTGGCGATTGCGAAGACGAACCATGACAATGCGATTCGTTCCCTCGACGATGGGCCTGGTGAAGGGGCACTGGCTCTGAGCTGTGTGGGGCAGAAACCCTCTCAGTGTTTAACTCAGGTTGGGTTGTAAATATTTGTGCGCTTACCCAAGGCGCAGAGGGCCAGCAATGGTAGAAGACGTTTCAGCATATCCAAAACTCTCAGCGTCGCTGCAGTCCTTAGTCTTCGGGCCTATTTATAGCGATCTCGGGCCAAGGCTGTGGCTATACCCAGCGTTTGTACAGCTGTTTCCCCACTAAATGGGGCTCTTTTGTTGTAGCTTTTGAATGGTTTCCCGTATAGGTGTTCTGACTGGCGTGTGCGACCCACTAGCCTTTAAATGATTGCAGGCTTACATAAAGAGTACACAAAAAATGGACTCTAATGAACTTTCATTCATGTTCTGCCCGAGTGCAGCTTGCTTAACAACTCAATTTTGGGTTTAATTACATTCAATTTCGGGCGAGGAAAAGCCCCCAAAACATGCTGTAGTAGTGGCTGTAGCTCCCCCTGTGGAATAATGTCAACTTTTGTGCATCTGTTGCCGTGTACTCGTATACGTATCCGCATTTGCAGAGCAAATGAAATTAGTTATTGGCCCGATGCCACAGCCCGACCAAACCGAATCACTCTTCATTTGGCATTTGGCATTTGCCCTCTGCCCCATGATTTCATTATCATTGTTTGCTCCTCAAATAACATTAGTTCGGGCTTTGGGTTGGTTTTAGCATTGATTTTGGCCATGTTGCGGCTGCTGATGGTCGTGTTGTGTGCTGTGCTTCCTGCCCCTAGTCGATTACAGATTACAGACGGTTGAGGTGACTTTTTGGCTTTCTGTGGGGGCAAAGGGAAAGGTGCAATAAAAAGTGTGCCACGTAAAGTATATATTTCTGGGCTCCACTGTTGTTCCATTGTGGTCTCGTCGAATATTTCATAAATTTATATTTGCCTGCTAAATCCCTTAACGACTGTAAGCGTTTGCCCGTTTATATGGCATACAAAATGGCGGCACAACTAATACATGCGCATATATAACACCGACTTAGGGCTCAAGTCTCAAGGCTAAAGGCGAAACGTGCAAACTTTGCATGTGAGCGAGTCGGGAAGCCGGTATCCTGCTCCTGCTCTCGATATCGGAATCTGTGTGCGAGTGTGGACGGCGAAAGGAGAGCCAGAGACATTTGACTTTTACGCGCAATTGAGCTTCAGAACTCGGGATCCGGAATAGTTGCGCAAACTGTAGCTGGAGTAGCTCTTAGCTGCAGACCTAGGACTGCCAGATACGGCGCACTCAAGCCGCAATACATCCCACACCCACTGCCATCGCCACTGCCATTGCCTTTGCCGTTGCTTATAAATATTTATAACAGCCCACTCGACACTCACTAAATTATTAAGTTAATGTGTCGCGCTATTCAAAAAAGGTACCAGCCCGAGCCCTTCCCGGCTTGGGGAGCAATAAAATTGCTAAGCTCCGCCCCGCACCCGCCATCTCCGGTTGAGCAAGGATGAAATGTGGCCAACACTTTGACAATTTCACGCGGCTTAGACAGCGGCCAAAGCCATTAGGAACATGAGACGTGTTCAAGCGTGTTTTGATGTGTCTGTCTCTGGGTTGTTGCAACTATTAATAAGCATGTTAATGTTGCGCGAAATGATCAGCGAAATGGGAAAAGTTTTCCATGCCCCGGAACTTGGCCCACGACCTGGGCCTAGGACTTGTACTAAATGGTTCCCCGTTTCGAGCTGCAATTATAAGGCCACCGGGCGACATATGAGCGATGGAAAGTTGGGCAACTTTGAGACCATAAATCAGAGATGGGTCTTAAGTGGGGCACTCTGAAATATGGCCGGCAATCTCGGTGGAGACTTATGAAGTTTGCAGATATCAGGGATCAGAGATGTCTGCCTGCGGTGGCATTTGGAAGTGTGTTCTGCTCGCCATGCCTTGCTTTTATGTCCCGAATGTGTCATGGGTCGTATACGTTATATTGCATATTTTCAGCATTTGTTTGGCCATTGTTCGGCTCCTCGGCTGCTCGACTGCTCGGCTCTTTGGCTCCTCATGTAGACGATATGAGCATGAATTTCGGACCCCAATTGCGGTCAACGGCAGGTGCAATGCTGCAAGCCACTCCACGCCAGCTCTCTCTTCCGCAGCTTGACGTTTATTAAATTTTTCCACAACCACGCAGAGGATGGTCGAGCAGGAAACGGAAACTGGTAGAGGGGAAGTGGGGAGGGAAGTGCACTTTATGCTTCACTGCGTGGCAGCCTTAAACTCCTTAACAGCGAGAGTCTTTAAGAGGAGCCTCTACCTCTTATATTGACTCTGGCCGCTTGAGTAAACATTTTCCATGTATTTTACTTCATTTTACTGTTTTCCACTCCGTTCGCTTTCCGCTCTCAGCTCTCACTCTCCTTCTCTCTCTCTGTCTTTATTTGATTCACTTCTTTTTCTTTTTTTTTTGGTTGGGATGGGGAATATCATCATTAGGACTACACATGCGACGACGTTCAAAGCGAAACGGCTCCATTACATTACAGTTTGCATGGCCCCAATTTTTGGGGCAATTATTTGCTTTGTAGACTGCCAAAAAGGCTACCACCACCAGCAGGCGGGACAGACACGGCCACGGCTGCTGTTCAGGCACGCTTCTTCTCAGCAGCTCATCCGCCAGCCGCCTGCCGCCGCCTGTCGCTTGCCGCTTTTACACAATTTCCTTCCGCTTTGCTTTCTCTGTGAAAGTATTACGATGATTTGCATAATTTTAGCGCACCTACAGCAGCCGCAAAATGAGGCCTAAACCACGAGGGGGCTGGGAGGAGTGAGGGTGAAGAAAGGATCCTTGCCACTTGCCAAGTGAATCCTCCAGCGCATCCTTGTGAGCCCTCTTTCTGGTCGCTTTTTTTCTTGCCTGTTTTTTCGGCTCTTCTTTATCTGCTTTGCCTTTACGGGCCTTTGTTGAGGTGTGGGGAGCAGAGGCACAGGCAGAGAAGGTGGTTTCGGGTAGTTCTAGGGTGCTTGTGGAGGAGGGTGGCTGTGGGTGGTGTTGTAGCCTACATTTTTGTAACTGATGTGCTGCGTTGGCTCTCTGCTTTGAATCCGCTTCTTATCTTTGTGCCTGATCGAAATTGCTTTTGTGTGGTTGCTGGTTGCCCTTACCCGCCCCTCTCCCGCCCCTCTTCCGCCCCCCTCCTGTTGCTGTATCTGTTCTTGCTGTTGCTATTTTAATTTCAGTCATGTGTGCAGCCGCCTTTGCCTCATGCCTCATGCCCCATGCCCCATGCCCCCGTGACCCACCGAAAATTCTTTCTAGGCACTTTTGCAATTTTCTGCCTGTTTTGGGTTAGATATTCATATCAGCCCTATACATATTATGGCCATTTTCCGCTATAACTGTTACTGATTGCCGCTTTGTGGCATGCCACAGCCACAACGTTTTTATCATCCTCCACTCGACTCCCACCTCTCGATTTTTGAGCACCAATTGAAATGCAAATTGGTTTTTGCCTAGAATGATTTGAAAATAATTCAGTTGGTTAGCATTTTTTGCTCTCATTTTTTCCTGGGGAGGAATGGCAGAGGGGGGAGCATTCAAACTAATCTGATTTACTAGCGATAATATCTGGCTTTAAATTTATGCATTTCATATTAGAATCTGGTTTTGAGGTCAATCAAATGGAAGCAAACTCTTTGAGACTTGAAAATTTGATCGATCTATGTACCTAAAAAATAGCTACACAAAAACTAGAGGCAGAGGCAGAGTATTTGTTGCAAGTCATTTTGGGCTCAAGGCCAGTGGAAATTGTTGCCACATTTATTATCGTTTCGGACACATACTAGATACATACATATATAAAGCGTTTTAGCGCTTGTCGCTGCCACATGGCGCTTCCATTTCCTTGTTCATTTTCATTTGCAAATATTTATTTGTACATTTCCTCTTTGCACTATTTACCCACTTCCGCTGCACACACAGACACAGATACACCGAGTGGCCGGTGGGGTGGGGGCCGGTAAAAGGGCTTTCATTTTCACTTTCCACAAAACTTACAGCAGTCCAACCAACACACTCACGAATGGCTGACCCAGACTCGAATGCAGCTGAGTGCAAATGCGACTGCGACGTTTTAGTTTTAGCTTTCATTTCAGTTTCGGTTTCGGTTTAGGTTTAGGTTCGGTTCCTGCAATTTGCTAAAACCCTGCCCTGCCCTCAGGCGATATATAAAGTAAGCCAAAACCCAAACCGCTCGCCGCCCAAGCAGCCTCCATAAGATTCGAGTGGCGCTCACCACGTGACTTCTGGTGATGCATCTGGCTTTTCCTCTAGAAATAATCAGTGGCAATGATTGGCGGGAAAATATAAAATGGAAAATGGTACGAGGATTGAGGACTATCCGCTTGGATGCGTCCCATCTGCCAATTGATTAATTGTCTTAAAAAGTCTTGAGCCAGCCATCTGTCGAATTAAAGCCGGCACAGATTTCCTGTTTTAAAAGGAGGCAGTGATTCTCCCTGTGCCTGTGCCCCATGTCCATGGCAGGGTTCACGTGGGAAATCAGTGCAACGGTGTGTGCCCTGTGCCTGCCTGGGGCTCCGGCTCCGGCTCTGGCTCCGGCTCAACCTGGCTCGGGATACCATTGCCGCTGCTGACGTGCACATCATAAATTCTTAATGGTCATACACGCATCCTTGGATGGCATTCGGTTTCAACTGCAGCTGCAGCTGCATCGGCAGAGGCTGCAGTGCAATGCGGAATCCAATTCGAATTGCTTGCAATCACAGCGGATGTCAGGAATCACATCGAGACAACTTCATGTGCATTGCGTGTCTGTTAAATTAATAAATAATTGTTCGTTCAATCTGCCTCTCGCTGTATTTTTCGCATCCATTTTTACGCTGCAAACAATATCACTTTATTCGTTGGTTTCCTATGCGGGATTTACGCGCACACCTGTCCGCAGTTGATCCAGATTAATGGCCTATTTGGACGTTATCCTGCCGCTCACCGATGCCTTTCTTTTGTTTAATGATAAGCATTGCCCGAAAATCCCTGACACTGACAAGCTAATTAATAAATTATTTTGCAAGCAAATTAATTAGATTGTGGCCGGTGGTGAAAAGGCAAGTGAATGGTCATGCTGTGGCCAGT